AGAGTCGTCAGTATGATTTATGGTTTCATAAGAAGTAATTAATTTATTAAGAGCTGGGGAAGCTGGAATCAAGTCAGATATTTTAACCACTCCTTCTTGGTGTCCTTCCTTGTAGCCACTGCTTTATGTTTTCTCATTCTGAGCATTCTTTCTGAGCGACCACATTCATTATGCTTCAGCCATGTTAGGTTTCTTATTCAAAAATATACTTAACTCAGGAAACATAATTAAGCACCTACTATGTATCAGGTATTTTCTAGGCACTAGAGATACAATAGTAAATAATAGAAACAAACATTTCTTTCCACATGGATCTTGCATGCCAGACGGAGAAGAGAGAAAAATAACCAAAGTAAACAAGGGGGATATATCATAAGCAAAGGAGAAAAATAAATTGAAGAAGGAAGAAAGGGGGTTCTGGTGAAGCTGGAGTGGTGAGAGGAGCCACAGTTGTGGGGAAGGCTCTTGTTCCCCACGGCCACCCAAGTCCACGTGAGTCCTGCTCAGCCCAGTCGAGCTAGAGTCAGCCCACAGACCTGTGAATGGAAAAGTAAATGATTGTTGTTATAAACCACGGAGTTTTGGGGTTGTTTGTCTTGAAGCAAGGAACTCATTCAGCCTCAACTAGATTCTCCCTGGGAATCTATCCAGGGAACACTGGTGGTGTAGTATTCTGAAGATACAGAGTTTAAACCTTTTTTTTTCCTTCTTTATAGGGATGGGAGGGAACATGATCTGGAATCTACTGTGAAACAATAACATGCTCCACATATAAGTCAGGAGCGTAAGTGCTGTGAGAGGGAAATCGAACTCAGTGTTAGAGGTTCCAAGGGAGACAAAGCTTACAGAAAAGACCTGTATTTTCAATAGCATAAGAAGGTGAAGGGGAAATTTAGGGGAGAAGCTAAGAATATAGGTGAACTTGCTAGTGACTGCCCGAAACACAGTTCTGTAACATAGTGATAAAATTTCTGCTTTGCTTTCTTTCTTATTTCAGGTCGTTATTTTCCACAGTCTGGAAGTGTATCTCAATATGATGAACCAGGCATCTAAAACTCAAAATAGCCAAAACTAAACCTGATATTTCCCCTGGAAACATGCTTCTCCTCCTACAACATCTTTTATTTCTCCTAAGCTGGAGATTCAAGACATCATTGATTTCTTCTTCTCTCTCCTTTACCTTACATTCATTGGATGTCCAGATTCTATTACACTTTCAAGGCATTTCCCAAATGGGTCCCCATTTTTCCATTCTCATTGCTGACCTAGTTACATACCCTCTTTTCATCACTTGTGTGAGATAATAAAATAATTTTCTAAAATGCCTTTATGTCTCTAGTCTCCCCTTAAATTAACCAGCTTATCTTGTGACAAGAATATGAATTCTGGAGTCAAATATTTCTCAGTTTGAATATTGGCTTTGAGACTGACTGTGGAACAAGAGAAAAGATAATTAAAACTTCGTGATTTTAAACTTTCCTCACCTGTCAAAATAGGACACAATAAAATTATCTACTTTACGAGGTTGTTGCTAGAGTTAAATGAAATAGTGCCTAACTAATTTATGGCACTAAATGGTGTCCAATTGATTTTAGTTTTGTTCTTTCTTCTGTATTTTTAGAGTAATCTTTCTATAATGCTGATTTGATGGTGTTATTCTGTGGAAAAAGAACAACCTCAGATAGATTCTCCCTGAATACAGAATGCAAAAAAAAAATCTCTACCATGGCAGGAAAGGATTTCAATGATCTGATCTTTTTATATCTCTTCCCCTTGCACCCTTGGTCACAGCTGGTGGTTACAGTTAACTCCACTGGTGCTAAAGACACATGTCTACCACTTGGACTAATTTTCTGAGTAGTACACCGTCCTGGAAACTGCCAATTGCTCACCAAAAATCCTTTTTTTTTATTGTAGCAGAAATCTACCAGCAGTAATCATTATTTAACTTGTCTCATTCCTTATACTCTGTGTATGTTTTGATCTTCTGCATTAAGGTGGGGCCATGTTTCTGAGTAGTCGGTAGTGAAATTTACATAGAAGTGATATATTACCATTTCCAGGCCTGGTCCCTAAGCCTTATATAATCCTCCAAGTTCATTTTCTCTTCCTTTGTCTGCAGGCCACTATAGTAGAGGACTCTGAGCCTCTAAGTTATGGCAGAGCCATGAGAAGACAAGAGTTTGATTCTGTGAATAATTACATGAAGCAGTGTCCTCTCCAGCCTAAACTAATATAAACAAGAAAGAAGCTTTTGAGAGGAGTGATAATCCATTGACATTTTACTGTTGATGCTAAGAACCTTAGCCTACCAGACTAACACAAAAATTGGGGGGTGGGGGTTCTGCTATAATAAAATCCAAAGTATCTGTCACTGGCTCAGTGGTTGAGCAGTGAGCTATAAAGAGCAGATGTAACAGGATGACAGTTGAGATTCATCCTTTATTATGGCAAAATATTTGGTAAAAGTGTAACTTACGATAACTAGAAAAGTAGATCTTAAGTCTACCAATGCTATCTCTATGAAAAGAGATTAGAAAACATTATTCATGAGTGTTTGCTATTGGATGAGTTAGCAAGGTATTGCAAAAAAGAGAAGAGATCAGAAAACAGTTAGTCACTATTCTTTTTTTTTTGTTAGCAAAAAAGAAGAGGAATTTGGAGGCCTTTCTAAGGAGGGAAAGGCAATTGATTATGAATTCTGAAATGGTAAGAGACACAAAAGATAAAACTGAAAAAAAGACTTTGAGCTCTGATACCCATGTGAGATTTTTCAGTTGAACTGAGTTATTCAATCCCACATATATAGGCTTATTGTTCCACCTGGTGTCAAGGTACCTCATTCAGTTGAGAGTTGAGGGTGAACAAGCACAGAAAATAAAATGAGGTCTAGGAATGTATTTTGAGTGTGGTTAATTGCCTATGAAACTGACCAGAAGCAAATAAATCAGAAGTCCACTTCTAAATTTTTGAGGGCCTTGTGTTGTGCAGGCAACAATGTAAATGAAAAAAGCCTTTGAATGTTCAAGCTATTAAAACAAAATTCAGGCCACCAAACTTACTCCAAGAGGAAATGAGCTATGAAAGCTGGGCACCCACAAACGATGGCATTCTTCCCAGTGGAGAATGATGGCAAGTGAAGAGCCTTCTATGAGGCTGAGTCAGGGCCCAGGGAGAACAATGAAAAATAAAGAGTTTCTCCCAGAAAGCAAAATGGTGTAATTTAGGAACATCTTCCAAGTGCAAGGAAGAGAATCTTCATCCACCGTGTTGGCCCAACAGGATTTCAGAGTTGCTGCAATTCAATGGCTTGCCTTCATTCTTCCTGTCTTCAAATGGGTGTATTTACTGTAATAATTCTGTCCCTGCTCCATATTGTGTGTGTGTGTGTGTGTGTGTGTGTGTGTGTGTGTGTGTGTGTATGTGTGTATACACACAATTGGTGGCATCCACCCAAACCTGTCTGAGTGCATATAGCATCACGGGGAACAGCATTTGCCCTTGAAATCCTAGACCTAGAGCTAGAGTCGGTGATGGATGAGACTTTGGCTATCTCCTTTCAGGCAGGTGGTGAGGGAATTCTGGATGTGGAGAGTAAAAGGTGTAATCAAAACATAAGGGTGTCAAAGACTGGCTAGTTGTTCACAAATATCTATTTTATTGGGCAAACAGCTAGACATTAGTTCCCGACCCTTTCATAGGTGGGACTATATGAATAATTTCTGCTCATAGAGTTGTGGGTAGAAGGGATGTCCACTATTTTCAGGCCTGGCCTCTCACATATTTCTGCCTCCTTTTTTGTCTTCTGGCTACTGCTGAGAGTCATGCAGAAGTCTTAACTTTCTAGGTTATGGTCAGACCACTATATGGAAGAAAGCTCATCCCTGAATGACTTATGCCTCTTTGATAACCTTCATTGCATGGTTATATAAGCAAGAAGCAAACATTTCCTGTCAAAAGCTATTGAGGTTTTTTTTATTCATAGACATTAGCCTCCCCTGCCAAGTACACTAGAATTCCAGAAAACGAAGGCAGAGTATAGTTCCCTTCCCTTAGAGTTAATTGTGGTCATGTGACTAGGTTCTATTAAGTGGAATATGAATAGATGTGAAATGAGCCATTTCTGGTGCTAGCAGATATCACCTTCCAAGATCTCACGCCATCTGTTGGGTAGATGTGGAAAACAATCATGCCTTAGGAGATAGCAGAGCCCTTGAAGGAAGGACCCTGGGATTCTGAGTCACTACTTGGAGAAAAGCCCCATGTCTCCAGTCTTTTTGTAATGGTCTTAGCTTACTCTAAGTAACAGATCTGCCATATCCCTTTGTATCCCCATTGCTTGCATATTGGTCAGTCAGTTAGGGATGTCTTTCCCTGATTCTCCATCTGAAAACTATTCAACCTTTAAAACAGTCTCAAAGCTCAACTGCTTGCTAAAATTTTCTTAATTTTCCGAGTGGTCATTTATTTTCTTCTTTAGGATAATCGGGAATTTAATTATAATTATTGATTTGCAAATCAATCTTCCGTTTTTGACAATTAAATTATAGAGGGCAGGAGTTTACTTTGTATTGCTCTGTGTCTACCATGCCTCATACAGAGCAGATGATACATGGTTTTCAAATGAAAAAGAATGATTTGTATTGAGATATATTGTCATTTTATGTGGTCAAAGTTACTGACATGTTTTATGGGTACTGAATATATGTGGAATAAGTATCAAACTAGAAAATGTAGTTTAAAAGTAAACCTTAGTACAACAGATTCAGTTTTGGAACTCATAGAATGAGTTATGTCCCTGTCTCTGTCAGTTTCAGTACACTGAAATCTTAACAGCGCCATGACCCTGATGGAAGAGACAGAGAATGCTTTTTTCTCACTCACTTCAGGTTAAGATGGGGTTTTAATTATTCCTGCACTAATCTATTAATTATTCACAACCTGGTGATCTGAGCACTCCAGGTCCACTCTACCAGGGTAAAGTTTCAGGTCTCCTCAGACATGTGCTGTGTATGGGTTGTTCAAGTGTTTTCAGTTTAGACCTTTGCAGGGATTCCTACCACTTTCTTTAAGGTCTTTTATGACTGAATAGAAGCAATTCTTTCATCAAATGAATTCCAACTGTGACAGAAAGCCATTTTGAAGAAGGTAATTATGTTTGATTTTTCAATATAAACAAAGGAAAACAACTTATATGCAAAGTTCAATTTCTATTTGATTGGTTTGTGTTTGATTTACTTATGTGATTCTAAGACTTTTCTCCTGTAAAATTTATCTGAATAGTTTAAGAAACTGAATATCAAGAATATGAATCAAATGTACTTGTAGTAACTAAATTCTCAAAATTTTTAATTTTATTATACCACAATATATAAATATAGTGACATGGCCAAAGCTCATTTACTCTGGAAAGAAAATTCCTCAGAGAAAATGTTGTCTTCAGGTCCATACTGTCTATACATAAGAACTTATTTCTGGATAATGTGATAGGGCTTGATCACCAAAAGGCAATCAAGGTGGACAAAACTGTCATGAGCTTAACTATCAGAACCCCTTATTTCACTATCCTCATTTTTCTCTCTATGTATTTTCTTAATACCTGGAGTAAAGCTTTTATTAGATGTTTTCTTTTAGACTGCCTTCAAGTGGCAGCCCCCAATTTTTTTATGTATTTGTGAAGATGAACAAGCTAATAGGTATCTGACACTATTTACACTAAGTTGTCTATCCTTTGTCCTTATGATTAACTAACTTCTTATAAGATATAACTATTGAAATTCCAATGATATTTTGAAATAAATGTCACCATTTTAAGCAAGAATAAGCTCAAAGAGAGAGATTAGCTGAGTCATACTTAGTAAAATAAAACAATAAAAGATACATCTAGACTTACAATTTCCCAGCATCTACTATTTCCTATTGTCAGCGATTGAATGTGCAGGGAATTTAAGCAGCACCAGGGTGAGAAAGTATAATACGAGGTATCTGATGCTAATGAATAAGAAGGCTTTGCTTTGCCTCTCCTTTTCTTTGTAAAAGATTACCGAGCAAGTAAAGAACAGACTGTTTTATATTTGTTCCTACTGTAAATCTTGTTCCTCTGGGTGAGCTATACCATGCTGCACAAATACAGGGGGGAGAAAGACAGCCGTGGTAGAGCCTAAAGGTTGTTATTATTTTTTTAAAAATGTTACAGTGACTTAAAAACTGATAGGACAGAAATCACAAGACTACTTATATTCAACATAAAAGCATACTCTTTCCAGCTTAAAGGGGTCAGTGCACCAACTGTCTTGGTTTTTTGAGCAATATCTTCTATACATCATACCAAGTAAAAGAGAAAAGAGATCATTTTTCTATGTGTAAGAGAAACAGCACAGAATCATTTTGAATTCTCTGACACGAGGTAGGAATCTGGACAGGTAAATGTTGATATGAAATTCCATAGCCTGACTTCCACATGCTCTTTAGTGCCTTAATTCCTTGTTGTACTCAAGTTTTCAAAATAATTTAACTCAGCATTTCTATTGCATTAGTTCTAGGATTCCCCTTCTCCAACCCATCCCTTGTCATTATGATGTGGACACCAGAAATTGCAAACTTAACAATTATTAAACTCAAGTCTTTATTTCCACCTGTTCCCCAAAAGACCTTGACCTGCCATTTACCCACATTTCCTTGGTGACAGCACCACCTTGTGCTCAGGAAATCAAGCCATCCCTCAGAGTCACTTTCTCTTCTCAGTCATCTCCCTTTACCTCAGCCAGTCAGTCCTAAAGCCTCCTCCAGCTCCCAGTTATCTCACATCAATCCCCTCCATCCCATTCTCATGTCAAGGACTCTACTTGGGACCTTGTTATTTCTTTCCTAGAACTAATCTCCTAACTGGGCTTTCCATTTCTCGTCTCTCTCCTTCTTAATTTTATCTCTTCTCTTCCTTTAAACTCGTGTTTCTGAAACAAACTTGATCTTGTCACTATTCTCATAGAAAAACTCCATTAAGTTCTTATTAAATGCATGGTAGTTAAACAGTTCTCAACTTGATTCATGAGACCCCTAATTAGGTTGCTCCACATTACCCTTCCTGTACAACTCCCTACTATCACCTTCTATCCCCACCATACTAGATCATCAGCATCCCTAGCTCCGGCCATCCTCATCAATACACCTGATAATCTGTTTCCTAGAATGAGAGATTAGAAAGGGAGCAGAGCTTAGTGTTCAGGGCTATGGAATTTGGAATCAACTTAAATAAGCTTTGAGTCACTGTTCTGTAATTTGCTAGCCACGAGGCTTGGTCAAGCAACCTAAAATTACTATGCTCAAGGCCCAATTTCTCATCTATAAAATAGGACTAATACTTCTCATGGTTGACATGCAGATCATATACTTTTGCGTCTATAGATTGCTTAATGCATGACTGGAAAACAGCAACTGCCCAATAAATAGTTATTACTCCATTGCTGTTACGATTGCTATGGCTACTATTACTATTCTCTCTGTAGCTGTTTTTGCCTTCAGTTGCTAACACACTTTTTGAAACTCTCAGTGAGAGAGATTTCTTTTCCTGAAAGTATGCTTAATCATTAGAAAGAACTGAAAAATATTGCTATTTAACTCCTTTAAAATGAGTGATCACATTTTGTAATACTATCCTGGTCAAACGATGAGATTTGATTATAAAATAATGTTCTAAGATTCCAGTTTGGGTGATTGACCTTGAAAATTATCTCAACAGTTGAGTTAAAAAGTGTTTGGAGAAGTAGCTGAAGCATCATCAAGTAACTGTTTGGTTAGGATGAGTATGTAATTAATTATCCAATCACTTTTTAGAATAAAGGGAGAATTACTAATAATTATGCTGAGAATAGAGGAAAAAGTAAGGATATTTCCTGGAAAAGACTCCCTTTCCCAAAAGTTAGTTCAGTGGATTTTATCCTGAGATTCAAAGGCTTAGATTGCAAAAAATTAAACACCAAAACCCAAATATTATATCAGTGACATGTAAACATCAATAATATATAATTTAACATAAAAACACCACCCAAGTCAGTCACTGTCCTTTGGGTAAAAATAAATCCTTTTCTCAGTTTTTGCTATGTGTGGCATATGTAAACAAAACCTTTTAAAACGGTTATTGTCAGATTACCAATTCATTGAGAATTTAATTTTGATGAGGAAGAGGAGTACTTTGGATAATTTCCCAAATGTGCTAAGGACAAAGTAACTCATAGGTAAGTCACAATATGCCCAGCTGCCAATGAACTTTTTTGGGTTATTGAGACAGCAGAGAAATTTCAGGATTTTCTTTAATATATGCATGAAGGCAAGAAGACCTCCGTTAAGGTAAAAGTGTTACTGAGGGCTCTCTGAAAGCAATGAAATGACAGGCATGAAAATACTAAATACGTATAGTGTTGAGAGGTTGTCATCACTATTGGGGAAATCCCAAAGCAGAATTCTCTCTTCTCTTTGACATCAAGTTCCTTATGTCTTTCATAACTTCTAAGAAAGGTGAGCTATTTGATTAGCTGGCAGTTAGTAGTTTGCACTTCAAAAGAGATACAGAATGCAAGGAAAATGCTGTATCCCCTAAAGGAACACATTTCTGAGAGTATTCACCTACTGAGAATCTCACATGCATTTTGCTAAGTTGGGAGTATAAATATTCTCTATTTATTATTACCACTGGCTTCACTGCATGCTTATTAGGTGCTTACTATGTGTATAAATACTTTGCTAAGTACTGAGATTGCAAAAGTTTGTGAAGCAGAGTTTCTTCTGGGAAACTTCTGGTGGCTTTAGATGTTCTGTAGTGTGGCTACGCTTGCCCAGACCTTAAGAACAACTTTACAGAAGACAGGCTCAATAGGCTCTTGCCAGAGTTAAGTAGAGTCACTCAGTGTTTTTATTTGTATTCATTTTTCTTAATAACTTTTTCTTGCTTCTCCAAGTCCTAACTAATACTTGGCTCTAATTTCTAGACTTCATTCAGAAGCTTTGGTTCATATCACTTTATAACTTTGTCCTCACATCTTTAATTAGAGTAGCCTTACAAATTGTATACTATTTGAAAACCACTAGTTTTGGACTTGATGTACCACATATGCTGCTCCAATCCACTTATAATCTACTTGGGGAGGAAGGCTGGCATTTCTAGAAATGCATGTTACTGATAACCACAGAATATCACAAAAGTAAACTTGTCAGAAATATTTTCAAAAAAATACATAAAATCTGTATAAATATGACAAATTCATTTAAAAAAACATTACTTGTGCATCTACTACATCCAGCATTATTGAAAATGTGCATAGAGCATTCAAAAGAGCAATAAAGTTCCTGTTCTTATGCTGCTTATATTCTAGTTTATGTATGGAGAACAGGCAATGTCTTGCAGGTATTGTATGATGTGTCAACTAGTGATGTGTTCTGTAAAAAATAAAGCAGAGCAAGGAGGCCTGGGTATGACTGAGAACACTATGTTTTACAGGGTAGACACAAAAATCACTCTGGTAAAGTATTATTTGTGCAGAGCCATGAAAGAAATGGGGGAGGAGAATTTCAGATAAAGAGAAGTTCAATTGCAAAGGCCCTAAATAAGCAGTGTTCTTGGTGTTTTCAAAGAATGGTAAGTGGGGTTAAAGATCAATAAATGATAAGAAGAGTATAAAGAAATATGGTTAGAGAGGCATGGAGAACCTTCTAGATCATGTTGAGGATTTATTGTCTGAGACACAAAGCCATTGAGAATTTACAGCAGAAGAGTAACATGCGGTTGATTTCCATCTTAAAGGATTACACTGGCTGCTGTGAGGGGTATAGGGCCATGGGAAGGACAAAGTTGAAGACAAGGACATCAGTCCTGAAGCTACCAGAACATACCATGTGAGAGATGGTAGGGCTTGGATTGGATGGAAATGGTAACTATGGTGAAGTTTTGAATTCTGGAGGTATTTGAAAGGTAGAGGTGACAGGATTTGCAGATGTCTGGGCAGTGTGTAATAAGAATGAAGATTAAGTTTAATTTTAAGTATTTCGGTCTGAACTAGTAAAATGTTTTTCTGTTTTTTTTAAATAATTAAAACTAAAAGTAATTTATTGATACAAAATGTCCACATCCACCCCAAATGCTATCTTCAGAGTAAAGCACTCCCCCAAAAAAGATTTTTGTGGTTAACTGTCTGCCTGCTTTGCTATACTAATTAAGATAGAGAGGATTATGGAACAGGCAGGTGTGCACATGTGTGTCATCTCAAGAGTTTGGTGTCATTATGATATTTGTAGAAGAAAACACAGGGAAAAACACCCTAACATGGATCTTGATCACAATTTTTTGGAAATTGCAACTAAAGCACAAGGAACAAAATAAAAAATAGAGAAGTGAAACTACATCAAACTAAAAAGCTTCTGGGAAGCAAAATAAACCATTAACACAGTGAAAAGAAAATTTACAGAATGTGAAAAAATATTTGCGAACCATATACTGATAAGGGGTTAACATCCAAAATATATAAGTAATTCTCACAACTCAATAGCAAAACAAAAACAAAAACAAATAATCCAATTTAAAAATGGACAAAAGACTCAAATAGACATTTTTCCAAAGAAGTTACATTTCTCTATACAAATGGCCAACATGTTCATGAAAAGATGCTCAACATTGCTAGTTATTAGGGAAATACACATTAAACCACATTGAAATATCACCTCATGCCTGTTAGAATAGCCATCACCAAAAGACAAGAGATAACAAATGCTGGACTGGGTATGGACAGAGGGGAAGAAACAAGGGAAAGTGGTAACTGGCAGAGTAAAGAACAGTTTTCAAGGAAGGAAGGATCACCTGTATCAAAGTGCTGCTTAAGAGATCCAGTAAGACAAGGGCTACTGAATGATCATTAGATGTGGCGACATCGAGGTCATGGCTGTGTGTGACCAGGGCAGTTTCAGTGGGGTGGCCAGGACAAAGTCTTGACTAGCTGGATTTAGCAGGGCCCTGGAAGAGACTAAGAAACGATTTCAAGCACAGATGATGAAAAGTTTGGCTCATATTTATTGAATGCTTCAGATGTCTAGGTATTTCTCTAAGGACTATTTGTTCATTAACTTTCTATGAGGAAGACAGGAGTATTAGCCACAATTTATAGACAGGAAAATTTGAGTTAACAGAAAGCCAAGTAAGTTGAATGATAACACACAGTAAGTGGTGGAGCAAAGATTTATAACCCAAGGAGACTGGTTCCAGGAATCTGGCTCTTAATCCTTAAGTTATGCCAGAAAAATCACTGTGATCAGTTTCACAGTATCCTAATGTTAAGACTGCAAAAGTTAAATGTGCCATTTCACAGGAATAATATTGATGATGCATTCTAGTTTAAATGAAGTCACTAGCAAAACATTTAACATCTTAAGTCTTCCTGCCTCTTCAGAAAATAAAATAGCAAAATATTTCCAGTATAGATTAATTAGGAAAGAGGACCAGAAAACACACTGAAAATATTTATTATGTGATTACTATGGGCCAGGCACAGCAGATACCAAGCAACATGACAAATCATTGGTCTTCCAAAGTTATAGTCTACTAAACACAGAGCCAATATTTAATATCACACTGTTATAAAACAATGTGATGTTTTGGTGAATGTTATAGTAAGGCAGGCATAGATGCATTGGAAACACCAAGCAGAGGGTCTAATCTGATTCAGAACCCAGGGAAGCAAGCATTCCTAAAGTTGATATATGAGGAATATATTGACTGTTATATGTCATGCTATATTTATACTCTATTACATATTATATACTATATTATATTTTATGATACTCAGAAAAACTCTGAATGGGTTGCCTTATAAAGACTATGTATGTATACTTTTTTTGTGTATGTGTGTATATACAATTTTATGTAAATTTTATTTTAAAATTTTATCTTAATTTATGTATTTTCACTTTTGTTTTTATAGATTGGGTTCAGTAAGCTGTGACGATGAGCCAAATATGGCCCCCTTCCTTTTTTGGTAAATGAAGTTTTATTGGAACATAACCACGGGTCATTTGTGTATTTATGGCTGCTTTCTCACTACAGTGGCAGAGTCTAGTTGCCATATTACCTGCAAAATAAAAAATACTTATTATCTGTCTCTTTATAGAAAGTTTTGCCAACCCCTGATATAGATAATCTACTTAATTGCATGCTTAAAGCTACTTGTCCTTAGAATGAATGTTTTTAAGGTGCATTTGCAAGGATTTATCATTTGGCTGACACAGTGTTTAGAGTAACTTTGAATTCGTTTCTCAAATTAAAAATATTTGAAAAAAGTGTTAAAATGCATTGGAACACTGGCCTGATTTTTCATAAGCCAGTTACCGACTAGAGCTTATTTGCTGTGGCCCCTTTAACATGGGGCATCAGTTCTCCAGATCATCACAGTTCTGTTACTGTTTATTTTTCTTACACTGGCTCCTTGTCACTCATTTATATTACCTTTCTGGATGCTCTAGGAACTTCAATTTTGATGCTTGGAAAGTGAATCTAAGATGAGTGTGTCTTTCTAAGAAAAGACAAGTAGAGACAATCAATGGAAGTTCAAAGATTAAAATATAAATTACTGGCAGAGGTCTTGGCACATGTAAATGAATCTCTTCGTAGGTTTTAAAAAGTTGAACCCTCATCAATTTTATTTTCTTTCTCAGAGAATTACAGAGACCAAGGTTGGAGCTTTTAGCTTAAGAAAAAAGGACTCAGTAGTTTTCTAGGAAGAAAAAAAGAGAAAGATTTTATTGGACCCCAAGTTCCATGGAAATAGGAGAACATTGTGTCAATGAAAGAACAATATAAAAAATAGGCAAAAAGATGTCTAGACCCACTTTCACTTGAATGCAGATTATAATTGACATGACCAGTGTTGCCTTTGTAATTTTACCATTGCTTATGATGTTGTTCACTGTATGTTTCCCTGCAGTTATTTCAGGGAAAGCAAGCTAAAGAAGAGACAAGGAGATAGCATTCCTTTCTGTAAAGAAATTAGAGAAAGTGTCCATCTGAGGGAGGAATGGTTGCAGAGAAGAAAGAAGGACGTAGAAAAATGCAGGCAAAGTGAATGGGGTGCTAGGAGTCCATATGGGGTTTTAGTCATGGGAGGAGGCTCTGCATGGCATTGTACATGATTAACAATAAGAAGAACATTTTGCTGACTCCATGCATGAGCTGGGCTTGTATAGCTCATCTGTGTAGGTAGCAAGGTCCCAGAGTGTGGGCTGAAGGTTAAATGATCCCAGCTGTGAAGACCATAGAGCAGTAGGACATTGTGTTTACATTTTGTGAAGCCAAATGTTCGGCATTTCAATTGTATCATCTGAAGTTTAGCAGGAAATATGATTCTTCCATCAAATGTAACACCAGTAAATGGATATCCTCTTCTATTTATAAATTGTAATGTCATGTAATGGGTTAAGACACAAGTTGCCAGAATTTGTTTCGAGCCTGGAAATGTGAATTAATTTTCTTTTAGAAAATAAAATTAATAGCTAATGGAGGAGGAAAGGAAAAAAATGTAAGTCAAGTTCTATTTTGCTAAACTAAAAATAGGTCCAATTCTTTCAGAATTGCTTTTGCTGTGACCCATCTAATACAGATTTACACAGGAGATTTCCAAGAAGATACAGTTTCTTTTTCTTTGTTAAAGAATTTTTAAGACATTCCATGATCTTTCTATACCTCCTGCCTTTTGATTCCTTCTCCTTTTTGTTCTGTCTTCTGATCTCTTTCTTTTCTCATTCTTTTCATTTCTTTGTTTAAGAAGGTAGAGACTGGTAAAAGGGGTAATTTGGCAAATTAGTTGATAGAGCAAGAGGTTCCTGAGGAAAGAAAATTTCTCTGGTTCTTTTCACTTCATCTTGTCTTTCAAATTAGGTTGGACCTTAAGAAAGTGCAGATACGGAATGCTTTTGACTTGCAAAAAAATACAAATTTATATGGTTCAGCCTGCTCCGAAGTTCATGGTATCACTCTTTTACCCAAGACACTTTCAATTCAGGCTCCATAAAACCTGGACATTCAACAAGTTTCATAATCTGGGCATAATATTTTCTAGCACAAATTGCCTAATTTAGCCAAGTTAGTCCAACTCAAGACCCACTTCCTTTAGAAGGTTTAACAGCTCAAAGTAGCTAAACACCAGCACTGTATGTACACAAATCCTGCACTGTATGCCGTGTAATTAAATGTGAACTGATTTTTGGTGTAATACTCTGTAAAATGTGAGTTCAATCCCAAAGTAAATTGAAAACTGCTCATGAGCAGAGCTCCTGTCTTTAGCATTTTTGTATCTCTCCAGCTATCCTAATATCTCCCAGCACAGTAGGTATTTGGCTATGATTTTTTTTAATTGTAGATTTTTTTTTGTTGGCAGGTTTTTGTTCAAGACTTTGAGAACTGTGCCGAAAACTAATAAATGTTGGTGATTTGAAAAATGTGGAAGTTATGAATTCCAATGTTTCTTGTGTATATTTTGGGAGAAAGTTGTTTAAAGTTCCTGCATTTTGTTGGAATCTGTATTCTAAACTTAAGATTTAGTTGTTTCTTAAGTTCAAGTATATGGTGGTCAAAAGTGTGAGAAGCAAATTTATGTTTGGGAGAGCATTTCAGCCAGGATTCATTTGCAAAAGAATCCCTTTGCAAAAAAGTATGCGAACTGTCCAAAAGAAGAAAACCCACACCTCACACAAACACTAAGCTACCGGCAAAGAGACAGTATGGGAAAGTTAATTGCAGGTAACCCACTGAAGGATTTTTCTGCATGTGACAGCGGGCTGACAGGAGGGGCGCAGCAGCTGGCGTGCGGCAGGTAGGGACTGCTGTGGGGCTGGCAGAGGCCCCAGCGTGTGACTGGCGGGGCCGTCGTGCGGCAGGTGGGAGCACCGGGGGCAGCCGCCTGAGCCTGTGGCTGGCAGTACGACGGTCGGGCAGCCGGCAGGGGGCCGCGGTCGGCAGTTCAAACCGGGCACGGACCCTTAGCGTTCTCTGAGAAATCCAGGGTTGATACCGCCTGATTCTAAAGATAATCAGCTAGCCACATGAACTGGCGAAATAGAACCATTTCATGCCTGTTCGCCTTCTCCATGAATTCTGATTATCGGTTATTTTGTTGGTATTTTGTTTTCTTCAGTGTCCAACTACAGGTCGTAGCTGTTTAAGGACATTTTGTACCAACCAACAGAGAGGCTCTTGAATCCAACCCTGTAAATGCCTAATTAAATGTAGTCTTGATCAGCAATAAATTAGGGAAGCATTTGGTTCTTAGAACCAAGGTTTAGGACAGTAGTGCTCAAAGGTAACTTTCATTTTTATAGAAACAAGGTTGTAATCTAATATTAAAGAAAGGTCACCTTTGCTGGCAACTCACATTTGTGCCTGCAATTATTTTAATCCAAAGTACATCCAAATGAAAGAACATTAGGACAGCCAAGGTTAGCATTGGGCTAGTGGAAAACACACACACACACACACACACACACACACACCTCTTGAATACACTCGGTTGCTTTACAAATGATGTTATGTGAGGAAGTAAGATTCAGATCTGTAGTATTATAAGAGGTGAGTAAAACCGTAGTTTGAGAGTTCCCTCGCTTTTCTGTGCCTGCTACAACATCTACAAGGAATTCCTTTTTGGCATTTACTTGTAGCAATATGGTATTGATTAGTGGTCCTCCTGTTGAAGATTATGGCTTTTAAGGAAACTGTAGGACAGTCTGAAGACTTTAAGGAAATAAAAATTGTTTCTCTGAAAAATGGCAGCAGCACTTTTTTAAAATGAATAATCTTCTCTCTCCTCCAATCTCCATTCTTTCACCATTTTCCTTAGATCTTTTCATGAATTTGATGTCACCTCAGCACTTTCAAATAAAATTTCAAGCTCTCTCTTTTTTAATAATACTATTAAACCCCACTTTCAACAGCCAGCATCTCCTGATAGAATTTAGTGATGAGAAATAAAGTTTTTGTTGAGGGCATTTCTTAAGTGGGGGTGTGGGGGTCATTTTACAAAAGAAAGCCTCTTTCCCATTCTTGGCTGTGCTGGCAATTGGAGTCATTTTGGATAAGTCACCTGCTTGTGTTTCAGTTTGTTCCTTAAGAGAATGGGGGCTTAAGCTAATGTAATATCCCTCCACTGGATTTTTAAGAGCTGATAATATCTAAAATCATACTTTGCAAATTGTCATGGTGTCCTTAAACCTAAAAACTTTGTATAATTAAACAGCCCACTTTTTTAACACTTTTAATAAAGTAGAAGTAAATAATTTATAGATAGAAGCTTTTCACTGTTTTAAACTTAATTTAGCATTTTTATTGTGTTTATGATACTGAATACATAAATTTACTTAGTTTATATTTGCAAATTCTTTGTTACATACAGAGGGATATTGCACACAATATGAAAACATTTCTCAGATATTTACTGCTAACAGTCATTTTTCTTAATACCATTTTATTTTCTTCTGTCTCAGGAAGTCCTAAGCAATGCACACTACTGATTGTTATTTTGAAATATTACAGGTTTTTTTTCCCCTTCTAACTATAAAGATACAGCATTCCCAAAATTACTACTTTGGAGAAAGGAATTGCTCTGGAAACAAGGCTGTCATTATGAAATGGTTGTTTCTGATATCCTTTTAGATAAACAATGAAAAAAATACATCCACTGTTCTGATTTTGATTGTCTCATGAGTCTGCTTTTTGTGTGTAATATAGGCAAAACTGTTCTCCCTCGAACTCATAATCAGCATCACAAAGAACACTGGTGAGAGCAAGTCGCTGGCTGTCCGGAGCTCACAGCTTGGGGTCAGGGAGTCCTGGACTGGAAACCTAGCCCGCCTTCTTACCAGTACTCGCCCTGAGAATTGTTAACTTCACCAAAGACATGTTTGTTCATTGACAAAATGGAGGCAACAATAAAAGCCCATCACAGGATTATTGTGAAGGTTTAACATGAAAGGGTGTGGCCTAGAACCTTACAAACATGGGTAGAAGAAAGGACGGGTCAGTCTCCCTAGAAGCTACATTCTTTTCCTATCAGTCTGTTCCTAGTTCCTGCATGACAGCACCTGGCTTTTATCTTTAGGAATGCCAGTTTCATTTTTCTCAGCTAATGTTGACTGTTCTTCAGTGTTTCTGGAAATAATAGTTTCTATGGAGGAAGTTCTCTGAAAAATAAAAGTAAGTGAACCAACAAAAATCACAATAGACATAAAAAACTTTGTGGAAAAAATTAAAGCTGTTATGGGTGGTCTGCTTTGTTTTCTAGGATATTAGCACCTAAATTTTGTAAAGATGACTTAGGTCTTCTATACTAAAAAATAAACCCAGACCTTCCCTGAGGTAAGTTATACATTTCTTACTCATCTCATTATAATTAAAAATAAATCTGTTGACTGCCTACTGTGTCCCAGGTGCTGTGTGTGCACTGGGCATTATGCTGTAGAATGTTAAGGCCCATCTCCTGCTGTCTGGCAGCTTCCAGTGGAGAGCTGGATCCGAGGTGCATCATGTAGTTATGAGGGTGGCAAGTGTGGGGGAGGGGAAAGACTAGGTAATATGGGAACCAAGTATATGAGTTCTGCCTTAATAAGGAGAGCAGTTGTATCAGAGATAGGTGGCTTTCTTTACTAGTAAAGTATTTTTGCTGGGTCTGCATCAACACAAATCAGTTTTTTCAATTATCTTTGTTATGGAGAGAAAGTATTGGGCGCTTTTTTTTGTCTTTGCTATACATAACTTAATAACTATGATTTGGTGAATACTTGCTATTGGTTAATATTATTGTAGGGGCTTTACAGAATTTTCATTTAACTCTGTGAAGCATTATTCCTGTTTGTTATGTAAAGAAACTGAGAGGCACAGAATTGAAGTAACATTTCGAATGTCACACAGGCAGAAAATGATAGAGTTGAGATGTCTGCCCAAGTCTGGTATCTTCAGCACTGACAAGTTGTGTAATTCTTAGGACAGTATAATCCCAGTCAGAGCAAGCATGCTCATTCATTAGCAGGGATCTGGTGTTTACATCTGCTTTTCTTTAAAATGTGTCCACATGTCCTTAATAATGCATCTGATCAGGATTTGAATGGAATAGAAATTTTTATACTCAGATGAAACCAATGGCTTAGTGGTCACTGAATGAAGAGCTAAGAATGTGAGCTTACCAAAAGAAGGGATCTTTGGTTGATTCATTGATAAACTCATATGCCTAGAACAGTGCCTGGCACTGAAAATTATTTGTTGAATCAATGAAATGACAAGCAAGAAAGATTAGCCAAAAATGAATGAATCCCATTCATATTGCAGAGCAGAAAAGATGCAGCTTACTTGTATTGGAAGTTGTTAACCTCTCTCAAATTCCTTTAAATCAAATGAGATATATTACTGGACCACCTAATTACGAACTTAGAAATTATTTAGGACCCTGATGAAAAATACTGGGAAGACAAGTTGCTTGGTATGGCATTGAGTAGGCTTATTTTATAAGGTAAACATGAAGATGCAGTGGAAAGTTGTGTCTATGTGGACGAATTGACAATAATTTTAAGGATAAAATGATAGTTCTTTAGGAATGCCCTATTACTGAAATAAATTATTTTGCAATCTTCTTCTCCTGCATGAAAAAAACTGAGGGTCTGAGGAGGCTGCCAGGGTGTTGAAGCACTCAGAATAGTACATTTAATTTGCAAAACTGATTAGAAATGTAGCAGTAGTCTTCCAAGAACAAGATACTACCATGTTTTAGAACAAATGATCAATCACTATCAGAAAGCATGATCCTACAGGATTGCTGTTTGTATTTAATCAGTCACTTTCTCACTCGACGAATATTTGTTTGTGATACTATGTTCCACACACTGATTCATGTCCTTGTAATAGATCATTAAATGAAATAAACAAAGGACCCTGCCCCTATGGAACACACCATTCTAAAAGGGGAGACAACATACACTAAGGATAAGAAATAAACAAATTACATATAATTCAAAATATGATAAGTGTTGTAGAAAAAAGAAAAAGGAGAGTGGTTAAGGAATACTGAGAAAGGGGTAGTTACAATTTAGATAGGGAGAGCAGAATAGGTCTCACTGAGGTGACATTTTAAGAAAGATGAAGGCAGTGAGGGAAGTAGCTGTAACTATATCCTGGAAGAGCCTTGTAGGCAGTGGGAACAGACAGTGCAGTGGACGGTGTGGTTTGAGAAGGTGGGGATTCAGAACACGAAGAACCTTGTGGCATCGTAAGGCCCTTTGCTCTCACTGGGAGTAGAATGGATGCATTTGAAAGTTTTGCATAGACTGATGGCATGAGCTGACCTACATTTCCAAGGATCATTCTATAGAGGGCAAGAGTGGTAAAGGGACAATGGTTAGGAGATTTCTTTTTCCAGGTAAGAGACAGCAGTGTATTGGACAAGGCAGGTTACTTTGGGCATGGTG